CAAAAAGGAATTGATTGTTTTTATTAGTTTTAAAGAAGATACAAACAGTGAATACCCACTCTCTGTTTTGGTTACCTAAACCCTCCTAATGATCTTAATAAAGCATTTCACTGGGACAAGTCAATGAATGTCTAGAAAGTCATTTTTTACTAATAGAAATGCCTGGATAAGAAAGCATGCTCCTCCATTTGGCATTGGTCAACAGCCATTGCAGTTGATACTTTTCAGAGAGTCTGGTTTTACAGATATTATGAAAAAACTAATATCATCAAATGATTCATTTACTGGGAAATCTCCAGGGGGGGGGGAACCAATAGTGATGCTTTCCTTCCACACAAAATACATTATTAACTAAATTGACTAGAAAGACAGTATCTTGTGGTGGCTGGAGTCTTATGGAGTGGAAGATGTCAATTCTGCAACCACTGGGTAGGTGGGTGAAGTTTAATTATTCGATCCTCTGTGCTCCAATTCTCTATTTGGAAGACAAAAGGAATAACTGTGTGTAATGCCTCTGCCTACTCCAAAGACATGCTGGAAGAGACAGAAATGTGAACCTGCACATGAGAGAAAGTTTTCCAGTAAAGTATTCTGGCTGTAATCGTGTTAGTATGGCTCTGGCCAAGTGAGGTCTCCAAGAGAGCGTCTGGGCTTAGAGGCAGAGAGATGTGTGTATCAGAATCAGCTGGGGAGATTTTACAAACTGCTCCTTGCCTTGCGCTGGCCTCCCATCCCAGCTGAAAACTATTATGACTGAAGAAAACTTTCAGCGGCTGGCGTCATAAATCACGGGACACAAGCACTGGGCTCTGAATAGTGGGAGTTGCACACACTGGTGATTTAAGGTCATGGGTTTTAGTTTCGGGGAGATCTGAGTTTGAATGTCCACTCCATTTCTTATTGATTATATGATCTTGAACTATTTATTTAACCTCATGAAAGCCCTCATTTCCTCACCTGAGAAATACCTGTTGTTAAAGTTGGTGTGTGGCTGCCACATAGTTAGTGCTCAATAAATATTTCCGCCATTGGTTCCCTGGTAACTCTGTGCTTAATTGTCCTTTCTGAACTACAGATTTAAGGCAAATTTGTTATGCTACATGTTTATCAATTACTTCGGTCATAAAGGTTTAATAGATGTGGGATCTGTATAAGCATGTATGCATACATAGAGAATTTTAGAGCTGTAAATGGCTGTAAAACCATAAAGATTGTCCTCAATAACCCCTCATTTTATGAATGGGGAAACTATAGCTCAGAAAGGCATGAGACTTGTCCAAGGTCACAGAGCTTATAAGTACAAGGGTCAGGACCTAGACCATATATCTTCTATCTTCTAGCCCAGCACTGTGTACTCCTTGCCTCTCTCAAAACACACATTTAATAAAAATAAAATATACTTGCTTTAAAAAGCTAATGATGAGAATGTTATTTCCTTTCTATTGTAGGGGTCAGCGAAATCATCACATAGGACAAGAAAAATCCCGTGCAATGACCCTCATCCAGCTAATAAAATTAATTGCACAAAAAAGGTGCAGAAAAGCACCCCCTGTCATGGCAGAGGTGGCATCCAAAGACCCAGGACACAGACAGAGACCCACGTTGTGAGGGAAGAGATGGTAACGAAGAAGAGTTTCATATTCCTCACTGGGTCTCAAAGCAGCTTCCCCAGGCTGGTCCTGTATTCCAAGCTTCTTGACGCATCATAAAATTTCTAAAAGCTCCATTTTTTTCCACATGGCTGCTTCTTCCTCAAATTCTCTACTTCTGGCCATGTGACTACGATAGACATTAGTGCAGGGGTCTCCAACCTATGGTGAGTTGTATGATTATTTCATTGTATATTAAAATGTAACAATAGAAATAAAGTCCACAATAAATGTAATGCGCTTGAATCATCCCAAAATCATCCCACGGCCCCCACCCCCACCCCACCGCTCCAATCCATGGAAAAATTGTCTTCCACGAAAACAGTCCCTGGTGCCAAAAAGGTTGGGGACCGCTGCATTAGTGTATGTGCAGTAAATTTACACAATTCTCCTGTCCTGGGCATACATGGGGGTACTCAGACCCACAATGAATTCAGGAAGCAGACTAGGGGCATAACTAACACCAAGAAACCTTAAATGCAAGTCAACAGATAATGCCGAGATCTGTGCCTCTAAAAACAGGACCAAAGGCTCTTCTGGGCTCCCTCAACAAAGCAGGGCGCCAACACTGATTGAATAGCTATGCTTGGGTCTGACTCACCGGACCCAGTGGAGAGGAGGGGAAGGTCACAGAACTGGAAGCACACCCAGTCCAGTTCTGGACACCTGCCTGTCTGCCCACCAGTGACCACTGTGGAATCTAAGGCTAGCAGACTGCCCCCAAAACTCAGCCTGGAGTCCCCGCCTCCGTGCACGGCCCAGGAACCGCAGCAATCTTCCCTCCAGCCCTGGCCACCACCAGGAAGGCATCTGTTACCTCCTGCTTGGCCCTCTGGCCTGTGGTCGCCATTATAACCCAGCAGCCATAAATTTCAAATTCTGCTAAATGCTGACCTACTTCTAACAGACTGCAACACTTCCCCTTTGGGAAAACAGCCTTCCTCCTGAGTACTCTCTGCTAAATGAGTGCCACCTTGTCTCTTTCCTCCACATCATCATTATAATTAATAAGCAACAATATCATCCCTCATGGTTATGTTCTTATTAGGTGTTAACTGGCCTTAGCATCATTATCTCATTAAGCCTTTCCACCTAAATGACTTTATCAGCTTCCCTCTGAAGGGGGCCTGGTCCTGTCTGCAGAACAGAATACCCTGCAAACACACAGGAAAGCGAAAAGGATAATCACAGGCATTTAGACCTGCTCCAGATATTCACATTTTTGAACAATTAATGATACTTCTACCACTATGAATAACCTTACTTTGCTATAAACCTTTTCTTCCAAAGTCTTTAAAGCAATATCCAGAAGCTTTTAAACTTAATCTCACTCATTTTTATGGGGAAAAGATGTTGTGGAGTAATACATTCTAAAATATTTACAACCGTTAAAACTTCCTCCCTCATCACTAGCCACCTTTCTATGTGGATAAATTATCTCCTGTTCTTTCATTAAGATGCTGAATTTCAAATTTTTAAATAAAAGACAATGAACAGGTTTGCTCACTTACTCCCTACTTCAGTTGTTCTAGATGCAAACTTTTCTTCAACTTCCCCAATAATGCTTAGCTTTTCTTTCCTTTAATAGCATTCATTTTATAAGCCAAGCTTTTGTAAAAAGTGGATGAGGACTATTCTCCCCCTAAATGAATGGAGACTATAGACTAATACATTTCTCTAAAAATGCTTTCATTCCTGAGGACTAATGATGCTTATTGCTTCCTCTGTTGTCCTCATGACTCCATGTTAACCGTGAACTTTTCATCTTTTCCTCCTTTATTTCTAGGTTGTGCACATTCTCCAAGGGTTGGGGGAATGTGCCATCAAGAGTTGAATCTTGCCCTTTTACAGCCATTAGCCACAGATTACTTCTCATCTCAATTATGTCTTCCCTTCCCTCCCTTCCCCAATCCCTTAATTTCCTATTTTCCAAGTTCATCTTTGTTTCCCAAGGTACTGATCATGATTTGAAGGGGAGGACCTGAATCTCAATCTCCTTCCATTTATTTACTTAATTTTTAAAATCCAATTATCATTCCAAGAGAGAAATCTAGGTTTATAGTCCTCAAGCCTTCCCATAGAAGCAATTAGATACACTAGGACTCTTTTTTATTTAATGGTGGATAATACAAGGAAATGCATTCACTAATAAAATATGGCACGTTCAGTTGGTGTTACTCTGAGATGCATTAACCATTCTTTTTTTCCTTTGGGAATGAAACCTGACATCACAGCCAAAAGACACATTCAACAGCTTATGAATCTGTGTCATATAAACCTTTTCTCTTAGGGATCTAAAGTAAACCTCCAAACACAAATCCTGCTATCATAATACTTTCTGTTAGTGTCCAGTCTCTTTCCCTAGATGAGCATAATTTTAGTTTTCAAACTTTTTTGTGTTTAGTTTTGTTTTTGAACCTCCACAGGCTTTGGGGCCATGTCCCCTTTCTCTTAATCTTCCTTTGCTCCTCCTGAAGTCTCAGGAGAATTAAGTTTAACAAACACTAGAGACATTCATCCTTCTCCTTATTGTCTCTACCTCATGATCCTTGCTCACCTAATCCTATTTCAAGCTTATGCCAGGGACGAATTTCCCTCTTTGCACAGTCTCACTTTTATATTCTTCCTCACTGTCCCTTTGTCACTTTATTTTACTACACACACACACACACACACTATTTCTGGCCCTCACCACGTCTGGAAATTTGTGTGGCTGCTGAAGCTCTCACAGCCTTGTCTCCCTGGACAAGAGGGCAGCTATCTGGCGAGGAAAAGTCATCGTGACCATCCACTTCATCAGCACTGACACCGAAGCAATGGAAGTAAATGCACTGACTGAGGGACAGCCTCATTACGTTGTGCTTAGAGGAAGAATTGGGGCAATTTCCCAAACTCTACCTCCCTGTTGAACTTCTCTGAAGAACAGTGCTCATTTTTCAAGCTTATTGATTTTCCCATTCCAACACAGACATATAAAAGGAATTCCCACACAACATAGCATGCATTTCCATATGATTTATGACTTTCCACTCATTCTAAACTGGCCAAAGATACAGATTGCTTGTGCAGTGGGAAATCCTGTTCCTTGAATGACTGTGTTTCTTTGAAAAGAACTGGGTTTTCCTGAGTTAATCTTTTTTAAAATAATCCAAATTATCTACTTTTTTTTCTAAAATGTGACCCCTTTCCCCCTCAGTATTCTATTACAATTCACACACGATTTCTCTTGAGGGTACAATAGAGTCTAATTTTCTTCATTATTCAATTTGGATCCTGTTAAGCAAGACAGGCATTCACTGACAAGAAGAACATTTAAATTTTGGCAAATAAGTTCATTAGTATTCAGAAAGCTTTGCACCCCTCATATTTAATAAACCTTTCCATTACAGAGTAAGAAATCTTGCAAAATAGTCAAACAAATTAGCAATGGGGCCACCAAGAGAGTACATTCCACCCTGATTCAGACATATCTCAGTTTATCAGTTTTCTGTCAATCATTAAAATAAGAAAGATGAAACATGCAATTACATACAAGGAGACAGAATTCCTAATTCTTTCATCCTAGCTGAAGCAGAAGAGTTTTAATTGCTTGGAAAAATAAGATTTTTGTTTTCCCCCAAGAGGGACAGAGAAAACAAACATAAATTGCCTTAGAGTCAATGGCCCAAGCTACAAGACTCCAGACCATGCAAATGAGAAGTGGAAAGACAGCCATCTGTGTGTTTTATCTTCACAACAGCCAATACCCAGATATATGAAAATGTGAGATGATTGACACAATGTTCCCTTTTCATTAGAGTGTTTAGAGGCATATAGATTTACTGATTCTGCTTAATGGGAGTAACATTGCATTAATATAGTTGAATATGTTGTCAATTATTCCAGGGTCGATTTTCCACTTAGGTGAGTTACTCAGGCCCTTTGTTTCTCTTCTAAGTCCTACTGGCCATTCTATCTTATGAACCTGACACTAATTTTAATATATTTGCCAGAGAGAAAGTAAGGACACAGAAAGAGAATGAAACACTGATCAATCCATTTAGTAATGAGGTACACTACAAAAATGAATGCAAGAGGGAAAATTAAAGCTTTTGGTCATGAAACAGCATAGACATTAACTTAAGTGTCTGTCTGTTTCTTGACCTCAACTAGGAAGTAAAATTGAGAATCAAGAGTAATTAATACCACCCTTAAAGCCAGAAATTGAAATATCTAAAACTATTTCCCAGGATAAAAATTCTCAAACCCAATAGTTTGTGTCAGTAATTCTGAATTTGAAATGCCATAGATTTATATTTCCATAAAATATTTTCTGTACTCAGATTTATATACACATATATATAATCTTAAATAGATTTGCTAATGATGGAAGAAACAAAGATGAGAAGTTGCTTATAATAGGATTCACAATAGGGTAAGAATTCATAGCCACATCTTTTTGTCTGATCAGTGTTTTTCCTTTCCTTTCTAAAGAGGTCACCAGCCATAGAGAATGTATGAAACACAATATATATGAAAGATGTCTATCTGTTGAGAGGTATTTTTTAAGTTTAGAAAGTAGTCACCTAGGTTCTCCCTACCTGAGTAGGGATGATGAGTTGCAAAGGATGAAGTAGTCAGTGGCCTTCACTATACAGAATGCAGGCTTATAGAGCATGGTCATCAGGCACAACTAAGGCAATGGAAATTACCCTAATGATTGGAAAATTGGCTCAAAATATCTTTGTAGCCATTAGTTATCTGTAGCCACTGCTCCTCATACTTAAGGGAAAGCTAGAGTGCAAACTCCATGGGGGTAGGAACCGTGTTTATCTTGCTCCTAAGTCTCCACAGTGTCCAGTAGGTACTTAACTATGTGTTGAATCATTAAACATGACTATTAGTTCCATATTTCATGATTCCAAGCATGTTCTATGATGGTTTCATCTACAAATAACCAGCAATATCACCCTTCAGTCAAATATCTTTGAAAGTCCCAGTTCCACCAGGTGTTTCTAATAGTCTAATTAACTCAACATAGGGTCTGACCACCAGGCCCATAGACAAAGAGTTCAAGTTCATTTGTCTGTTAGCAATGACCCTCACCTCAAGTGAACAAAAATACCCTATGGGCTCACATCGTAGAACTGGAATATAGATGTCTATGACAATGTCTTTATTGTCAAGCCCTAGAGTGCAGAGAAGAGACATGCAAGCTCATGAATTGGTGTCTTCCTCAAACTACTACTTGTTCAGTCTTCACTAGAGGAAAGGCTGAGCTCCACATGGGTAAGAACTGAGCAGGAGGACTACCAGGGTGCTCAGCCTACCCTCCATAGCCATAAACAACCCAGATGGAGCACCCAGTTAATGTGTCCTAGTAGGAAAAACAAGAACCCTGCAGTAAAACAGCCCTATACTCCTGTATATTCTGATCACTCCCTACTTTCCACCCCTAGGGAATTTATCAAACCATTCCTTTCAATTGCACACACAATTCTCCCTGGGAAGAAGGGCTGGTAAACATATTTTCCTCTCCTTGTATTTCCATGGATGTGTTAGCACACTACTGACATTTTAGTGCCCTTATAGGTTAGTCCTCCAAGCAGTTGCCCAGCTGATTCATCTTTAATCTGACTCTGATGACAGTCATTGCTTGAGATGAAGAAGGCAATCTAGTGAGAAACTGCGGTTGATATTTCTCTTCTTTCTGGGGGTGGACAGCTGTCCATAATGTCTTCTTGATGATGGTGTGCAGGGTCCCGGGTTCAAGGAGTTCAACAGCAGCAGTGGGAAACAGTATAAGACAAGGCCGTGCTCCTCCAAAGGAGTGGGTTTTCCCTCTGTCTCAGCAACTGTAAAACGATAAATCAAGGATTAAAAAGTTAAGTCACTGCTCAAGTGAGGATCTTGGTAAATACAGAGCTTAAACAAAGCCCGATGATGGATTCATTGGCGTCTAAGTGAAGTCTCTGGCTTTTCAGACAATGGGGCAGAGACTACAAGAACACACAAAGTATGCCTAAGGCTCCTCCATTCCTGCATTAATTTTACTGTACCAAAGAAGAGGAAAAATTACCATGGCTGTTTAATACAAGTGAATCTGCATGCCTAGAGCTAGGAAGGGATATACTAAGGGAGAAGGAACAAGAGCTCAGAGAATCCAAAAACCATTGCTGCTTCTTTACAGTATTGCACAGGGCTGACCTGAATGGAATAGTGATTATACGACCTGAGTGAGAGCTGCATATTTGGGGACAAACTTGGATTTAAGATTCCATGAAAAGTTAGAAGCACAGTAACCCAGGGCTTATGCAGTTCCTGGGCAATCAATACGATTGATTTCCAGAGTCTTTAACAAAATAAGACAGAATGATAATAACCTCACCCAAAGCTGGTCTAGATGAAACATCATTACTTTAGGACATTTCTATCAAAAGCTTCAAAGTGATGTATTATAGCGCCACTACCAGGGTACTGGACAAAACTGCCAAATCAATGACTGTCTTTGGCTGCCATGCCCTCCCTAGCTGGACCCCTCCGTCCCCTTCCTTAGGCTTCAGGAGACCAGCATCCATGTGCTGTTATCCACCCACTCTCGTTTCTTTACTGCAACAGATGACAGTTAAACAGAAAGTCTTCCCACTAGAGTACTAACAATTGGTGACTTTAACACTCCCATGAAGTATTTGTAATTTATATATGGAGCTTCTATACATAAAACTCTTAATTACTGGAATATGAGAAGAAAAGAGAGGGAAGGGACATATGAGCAGAGAAAGGGGAGGAGATTCACATGCTTCTCATTGAATGTCACCACTATCCTACACCAGCCACCAAACCTACAAAGAGTGGGCTCCAGCAACTTCGCCTCCAGTGACACTGGACAGCTGCTAACCCCAGTCTGAGAAAATAGTGCTGTCCTCAGAGCACACAGAAGAGGTAGATCCTTTAGAAATGATGTCCAAACCTCTAGAGAAGCCTCCTACAGAGAGCAATGATCGTGTTTGCATTCCCAGTGCCTTCCCTAGTCCGAACCCCTCACTGTACAAGGAAGCAAAGTGAAAGGTGAGTGGCTTACCCAGTATCACGCAGGGACTAACTAAATGTTAGGGCCAGGACTAAGTCTAGGTGTAAGCCAAAATCCTAGTCCACAGCCCTGCCTAGGTAAATCCCCATAAAACACATGTTTTTGCTCCAGATGCAGGCAGGAAGATCCTATTCCTCAAACTCTAGAGTTGTATTTGGGTAGTATCCGAGTAGTAATTTCCCCTTCCTGGACAACAATTTGGCTCAGTGAGTCTGGGGTGAGGCACGAGAATCTACATGCTAACAAGCTCCTTGGGGGACTCTGATCTTCCAAATGTAGGAGCCACACCTACACTTGGTCACCCTTCTACCTATCAGCACCATGCAGAGGGCTGGAAGGTCCCCCTGAAGGGGCTGCTCTGGGGACATCCTTTTGAATATAAACACCAAAGGGCTCCTGACTACTGGGTCACAAGTCAGAGCCCTGATAACAAATGCCTGCCTTGAAATCTCAAGCAAGGAATGCTTAGAATGGGCCAGAAAGTTCTCCTCTTAGACCTGTTGACCTTAATGATTTTGTGGCTGGCAATATCCCAGCCATATCTTTGAGGTTCCCAGATAACCAATCTTCCAACATGTGCTGAGCCCCTACATTGTGTAAGACTGTGTTCAGGGGGGGATGAGATAAACAAAGAAAAGTAAACCCTAGTTGTAAATAATCTATTAAGAAGATCAACTACAAAGCAGTGTAGTTGAGGATGGAATACAACAACACAGATCAGTGTCATATAAGCATGTCCCATGTAACGCAATGATTCCCAAACCCAATTCCTGGCACAATCATCTGTAGTAATTCCTAAATCCACCCTAGGGATTTCTAATTCAGTGATCCCGGGAAGAGTTCAGAATCTGTATTTTTATCCAGCTATGACATGAATCCTATTCAGCCAGTCTACAGATGGGCATTTGAGATCCTTATAGTGTGTTGAGGGCCAGGATATGAAGAATCTAAGGCAATCTAGCTTGGTTATTTCTTTATACCAATGATTTGCTGCTCCTCAAAATTCTTAACCTACTCAAATTGGCTTCTAGAATCCATGTCTGTTTAGTTTGGTTCCTCTTAGGTCAGTCTTGGCCTATGCTATCCTCCTACTTGATACTTCCTACTCAGCAGGAATCTGTTTTCTAGAAAAGGGCACAGCTTTATTCTTTAGGAAACACACAGGGGGAAAAAAAGCCTCTGTGTAGCCATATATTATATGATTCTATTTACATGAAATGTCTAGAATAGGCAAACCCATTGAGACAGAAAGTAGATTAGTGGTTGCCAAGGATGGAGGGGGAAGTTGGCATGGGAGACAATTGCTAATGGATATGGAGTTTTTTCTAGAGATGATAAAGACATTCTGGAATTAGATAGCGGTAATGACTGCACAACTTTGTGACTATACTAAAAACTACTGGATTATATGCTTTGAGGGTAAATTTTATGGTACATGAATTGTATCAATTTTTGAAAAGCGCAGGTAGGAGTGTGGGTACCACATAAAACATGCAGGTGGGCCATCTGGCTCCCTGGGTCCTCATGACTATTGGGTGATGTCCCCTGAGCAAGAGGCTGGGCAGCTGATGACAATAATAGCTACTATTTATTGTGTACTTATTATGGGGCAGACACACATTACACAGAGGACATGGTTGTCTCATGACATGGTTATTTCAGATGAGACTTCATAACCAAAGATGTGGATAGTAGTATCATACTGTTCTTGCTAACATTTTAAAGATGACAATATGAAGGCATGGTGAGGTTAAATAACTTGGCCAGGTTCACAGCTAGTAATTGGCAAAATTGATAGCTAGGGAGATGTGGTGTAATAGGCACCAAATGACCCTCTGCCCTTAACCACATCCCCCATGGATCTGACATTCCCACCATTAGATCTGTAGAAAACAGAATAATAATAATGGTGATAACAATGTTGCTAAGATTTATGGAGCACTTTCCATGTTCTAAACACTCTGCTAAATCCTCTACATGGATTATCTCATATAATCTTCACAAGAACTCTGTGAGGAACACACTATTGTCATCTCCAATTTATAGATGGGGAAACTGCGGTAGAGAATGTTTAAGTAGCTTGCCCAAAGCTACCCAGTTAGTAAGTCATGGAGCCAGAATTTGAAAACAGATTCTTAGTGCTAAGACATTTAGTCAGAGACACAAATTCAGCTGCTGCAAAGGACAGGACAGCAAAAGTGTAAAGTGGCCCCCATATAGTATTTCTTGAAGTACAAATCAGCTCATCTTTTATTCATCTATAGAGATGTAGTACAATTTTCTCCTATCACTAGAAGATAAAACAAAGCACAAGAGCAATGATACATGGAAATGACACTATGGCTCAATGCTGGGGATACTACAGGGAGTGCAGGACCTGGCAAATCAGAGAGAGGCTACCTCACTGGAGGAGACAACCACCATTCGTCTCCAAGGCTCCATGGTCAGGTGGGCATGTGGTGTGGTGTTGCCATTTTTTCTGAGATGAAGCTAGAAAAATGGATTTTTGCGTGAAATCTTTTGGTTTTTAAAATATGGCAAAAAATTCTGCAGACTGTATTTGGCCTGTAGCAACCTACTCTCAACCTCGACACATAGCAGTTCTGTGTGACTGGCATTGAGGACTTGCAGTGAAAAGTAACAGGGGGAGTCAGGAACAGTGAGGAGGGGCCAGGGTATGAAGATTCCTGCTGCACCCCTAAGGAACGTTAAAGTTCATTCCATAGGCCAGGGAAAGCCAAGCTTTGTTTTTTGTCTTGTTGAAGAAGAGAAACAGACCAGATCACAAAGGCATCTCAGAGGATGACGTGAAGGTAGAATAGCTAGGAAAGAGCTGAAACAGCGACCAAATGGGAAGTCACTGCATGTGTCAGCCCCAGACCAGGGTAGTAGCAATGGAGGCAAGAGAATGAACGTAAGAGCAACTAATAGCAGAGATCTTTCCTGATAAATGAGAGATCTGCTTGTATCAATAGGGCAGGTACATACACACTATTATATAGCTATGGCATTATTTGATTTTAAAAAAGGGTATCATAATGAAGAGGGAAACATTAGCCACTGTGAGGAAGAGAGCTGTGAGAGAAATAGAGAGGGATATCAGGATACAACTTGTGTGAGGCTGGGCTTGGCGTATAACAGGGAAAGAAAATGTTCTTGGCTGGGGAGGAGACAGCTTTAAAACTGCCTAGGAAAACCAAAGTGAATGAAGGGAATAAAAGGCACACATAATAAAGAGGTCAGGCATTAAAAAATTAGGAAGAAATATGGGACTCCAGCAGAGAAAAACATAATCAGGCAATGAAGAACAGTGCAGGTCCCTAAGGTTTAGATTTATGCAGATGAGAGAAACCAGTGCAGGCATTTTAAAAAGATGTTGTCATGAAGGCACTGAGGAGATTGCTTTAGCAGAGACAGGACTCAAAAGCAGAGACCACAATGGGGGTATTTATAAGGAGCAGAAGAAACAGGGCCGAAATGTGGGAAATGGTTTTAGTGATTGGAGACCAACAGGAAAAGATGAGTCTTAGAGATGTCAGAAAGGAAAATATGACAGGATTTTGGAATATGCTCAGAGTCAAAATAAGCTCTAATCTGTAAAAAAAAAAAAAAAAAAAAAAAAAATACAAAACTCTCTCTCCGCAAGTGCTTAAGAAGCAGCCCTGAGGAGAGCCAAAGATAACACCAAATCTACATTCCTAGGGCATGAGGAGGAGAATGCAGTTACCAGAAAGCCCCTACAGGGAAGGGAGTGAAGATCTCAGT